AACAGAATAACAATTCACTCTCTGATCGAAGGGCTCGAGCAGCAGCAGCAAACGCAGCAGCAGCAGCAGCTGCTGCTGCTGCTCCTCACGTGTCTCCTTATATTCTCCTTTCTGATGTGGCGAGGCACGTCGAGACAGAGGGCTTCTTCTCTTACCCGGGAACGATATGGCCCCCCTGCTGAAACGCAGCAGCAGCGGCAGCAGCAGCAGCAGCAGCAGCAGCAAGCAGCAGACTGCAGCAGCAATGCGTACGCTGTCTTCTCCCTAAATAAGCCCATATTCAATCGACAAGGACTGCAGCAGCAGAAGCAACAGCAACCGCAGCAGCAGCAGCAGCAGCAACAGCAGCAGCACCCGCTGGAGAAGCAGCAGTTGCTGCTGTTGCTGCAGCTGCAGCTGCAGCTGGGGGGAATTTTCAAATATCTTTGAGCAGCAGCTAAACACTAAACCCTAGATCCCTCTAGGGTGTGATTAGGGTCTAGGGTTTTGGGATTAGGGTTTAGGGTTTAGGGTTTAGGGTTTAGGGTTTAAGGGTTTAAACTGCAGAGGCTGAGGGTCAATGGCCCCCCGTAGTCTCGGGGCTTTGTGAAGGTGGCAGCAGCACCAGTAAGGCAAACATTCCCTGCTGCAGCAGCGACAGCAGCAACAGCAGCAGCAACAGCAGCGACAGCAGCAGCAGCAGCAACAGCAGCAACAGCAGCAGCAGCAGCAGCAGCACCATGACCAACATTTGGCCCTCTAGTTGCTGATGGGTATTTATTGTTTCTTCAAAAATGAAGCACAGAAATAATCCAGCAACAACCGCAGCAGCAACTGCAGCAGCAGCAGCAGCTGCTGCAGCTGCTGCAGCAGCAGCTGCTGCAGCTGCTGCAGCTGCTGCAGCTGCTGTTGTTGTTCTTGCGGGCAGTATGGCCGCTGCAAAGAATACTGCAGTGAGACGTGACAGAACGCATGCACGGGGACGTTCAACCTGCTGCAGCAGCAGCAGCTGCTGCTGCTGCAGTTGCTGCATCAACAGCAGCAGCAGGAGGAGCAGCAGCAGCCCCAAGAAACGAGAAAACTGAGAAAGAGAACCAAAAGAAGCAGCTGAAGCCATGCAGTGCTGCTCGCGGGGGTGGGGGGCCCCCGTACCCTCCGGGGGCCCCCCGCCAGGCTGCTTGAGGGGGCCCCCTTGTACCCACAGGTGTATTGTGATTTCAATGGTTTATAAAAACTCAACAGGGGCCCCCTTCAGGGGCCCCCACAAAGTACCCTAGAGGCCTGAGGGCCCTCAGGCCTGGGGGAGTCCTATAATACTCTCCTACTATGGGTTTAGGGTTTAGGGTTTAGGGTTTAGGGTGTAGGGTTTGGTATTAGGGGCCCCTAAGGGGATCC